ATCTCACAGTGTAGCTCTACTGACTACGTGCTCTATACCATGTGAAGAAATGAGGAATGAATGAACTAGCAAGCATGTGGGTACAAGTAGGAAAACCTAGAAGAGCTGTACCCCATATTGTCTACCCCACTACAACCTACACAGACTATAGCACATGAGTTTGACAAAAGGCGGACTGCATTCTTATCTTGACGCGTCTTCAATTTTCGCGTCACCTTAAACATCAAGAAAATTTTATGACAGCTACAAGATTCTGATGACAGCATTAAAACTGCTCTATACTATAGTTTTGCCGTGATTTATGTGTCAAAATGGTAGGAGTAGGTAGTTAGGTTTAAGTGGGCCTAGGCTTAGTAGCCTAGGCCAAGGGGGTCGAGCTAGTTTGTGCCAAGGAGAGAGAGTCGAGAAATGAGAGGAGAATGAATGTGCACTATAGCACTAGGGTACATATAGCAAACAAAGAGATGCACCACCTATAAAGTTAATATCTACACTACAGCTAGAACTACATCCAGGAATAAGAATATAATTTTGACATCCCCCTGTAACTGCATGTAGGAATAGCTAAGTGCAGAACACAACCTGCAGGGGTATACCACTGATAGAGAAAACAGCAATAACAGGCAAGGTAACAGAGCAGGTACAGCAGCAAAGGGGCAAACACTCTTGCCAACCCTCTACTCTCCTCCCCCCCCCCCCCCCCCCCCCACCTCAAAGAGACGGGGGGTTGGTTGGTCTCACACCCGCCTGTCAAAATCATATTTATTATAACTGCATGAAGTTCTAGCTGTAGTGTAGTTATTAAATTTGTAGGTGGTGCACCCCTTCATGTGTTCCTTTGCTATATGTATCTCGAATCCTATAGTGAAACCCCATTCTCCAATTTCTCTCTCACAACTCACTCGACACTCACCCTAGGTGAAAACCCGCTCGATACCTAGTTAAGGGCCTAGGCTACTAAGCCTAGGCCCCTCACCTTTCAACTTAATCTACTTTAAGTTCGACATGTTATCGGAGCTGTTTTCGTCCTGGCCTGTGGGCCCGCGTTACTCTTCCGCTGCTGAGATTTTCCGGTCGCGCGCCTAGGGCGCGTGACGATTTTAGTTTTACTTTGTCCCGCCCACGGGCGTGTGACTCCTACCCTGCCCGTCGCGCGCCCCGTGGCACGTGACGGTGCCCTTTATCTGCCCATCGTGCGCCCCGTGGCACACGATGGTGCCCTGCTCGTCGTGTGCCCCGAGGCACACGATCGGGCCCTTTTATCCTACCCGTCGTGCGCCCCGTGGCACTGGCCCGCGACGGGCCTCTCCGCCCCTGCACTCCCTGCTGCCGCCCCTGACCCATCTGCACCGACGCCTCTTCGCCGCTCTGCGGCTTTCTTCCTTCCCACCCCCCCCTTTCTCTTGTCTCCCTGCAGCCGTGGGGAGGAGGGTATGGGGGTGGAGGGTGTTGGAGCGTGGGGTCAACTCTCTCCCTTCCCCTCCTCCTTCTTTCAGTCCCACCGCTGCAGCTGCCGCTGGGGGGGGAGGGTGTGAGGATGTGGGTGAGCAGGGGGAGTGGTACCGGGGTGGCGGGTGTGAGGCAACAAGCAGCCGTCCCTCCACCTCTCCTCTCTTCCCCCCTTCTCTGCTGCTTCTGCAGCAGTGTGGGGGAGGGGAAGGAGGAGGGTGAGGAGATGGAGGGGGTAACCTTTCAAAGTTAGCCCGCCTGCAGTACCTGCTGTTGCTTGTTTTATTGCTCGTTAGTGTACCTCTGCAGGTTGTGCTCGACACTTAGCTATTCCTGCATGCAGTTACGGGGGGATGTCAAAATCATATTTATTATAACTGCATGAAGTTCTAGCTGTAGTGTAGTTATTAAATTTGTAGGTGGTGCACCCCTTCATGTGTTCCTTTGCTATATGTATCTCGAATCCTATAGTGAAACCCCATTCTCCAATTTCTCTCTCACAACTCACTCGACACTCACCCTAGGTGAAAACCCGCTCGATACCTAGTTAAGGGCCTAGGCTACTAAGCCTAGGCCCCTCACCTTTCAACTTAATCTACTTTAAGTTCGACACCGCCACCTCAATGCCACTCCCCTGGCTCCGCCACACCCTCACACCCTCCCCCCCCAGCGGCAGCTGCAGCAGCGGGAACGAAAGGAGGAGGAGGGGAAGGGAAACACACCACCCATCACCCCCACATCCGCCACCCCCAGACCCTCCCCCCCACGGCTGCAGGGAGACGAAGGAGGGGGGTGGGGGAGGGGGCGGGGATAAAGCCGCAGAGCGGTTACAGAGGGTCGGCGCGCTGTAGGGCATGGGCGGCTGCAGTGAGTGCAGGCGCGGGGTGAGGTAGAAGCGCCGTCGCGGGCGTCAGGGGCGGGTCCGCGGCGGCTCAGGGCACCGTCGCAGGCACCAGGGCGGGTCCGCGGCAGCTCAGGGCACAGTCGCGGGCGCCAGGGGCGTGTCCGCGGCAGCTGAGGGCACCGTCGCGGGCGCTAGGGGCGGGTCCGTGGCGGCTCAAGGCGCCGTCACAGGCGCCAGGGGCGGGTCCGCGACGGGTAGAAAAAACGTCACGCGCCATCTGGGCGCGGGACAGAACGAAAATCGCCACGCGCCCGAGGCGCGCGACCGGAAAAACAGCAGCGGAAGCGAGAGGCTGACCCACAGGCCAGGACTTAACAGGCTCTGATAGCATGTCAAAATGGTAGGAGTAAGTAGTTAGGTTTAAGTGGGCCTAGGCTTAGTAGCCTAGGTCAAGGGGGTCGAGCTAGTTTGTGCCAAGGAGAGAGAGTCGAGAAATGAGAGGAGAATGAATGTTCACTATAGTACTAGGGTACATATAGCAAACAAAGAGGTGCACCACCTATAAAGTTAATATCTACACTACAGCTAGAACTATATGCAGGTATAAGAATACAATTCTGACATTATGAGGTGGTGTTGGGGTGCGTGAAGAGATTGATAGAGCAGTAACGAAACTAGTAGAAGCTGCTCCAAGCTTCCAACTTAATAATATGCAGAACCCACGAGCACGCTATATTGTAAAAGCGATTAGACGTGTTCGCCGATGATTTTGAAACAAGCCATCACTTTGTACAACCATGCATAAGCACGTTCAACATTATAGGGCCAGAACGAAACAACCACAGCTAAAGTGACACATGGAGCAAAGCAACATATCAATGCGTTCTTACGGGTGCTGAGATTATATCATTTTTTATAATAGAGATTCATAGCGGGCTAGTTGATTTTTTTAGGCGTTTCATATATAAATCTTTATAGAAAGTTGCTCGGGTATGGTATATACTACATAAGACCACTAGCACCGGTTATGATCGTGACATTTTGCGTAGTATAGTGCATATTAAAAAAAAAAAAAACTTGCATGCATGACAACCTTTGTGTAATAGTGTGTACTCTACATATTCTTTCTTACAATTGTTTCATGCCCGCTTTGTAAAATGGTCTAACCATCATTCTAGAACAAGCGGACCATATGCAAATGAGCAAATTTTGAATCGGGGATTCTTCTTCAAAGAGTTATTTGGGTTCAAAGTGTATTGCGAAATCGGGGTGAAATCCCTTGCAAGTTAGCAACTCGACTCGACCAGGGCCCAATACATCAGGATAAAATACCCTTTTGCCCTTTTTGTAGGCCGCTTTTTTTCAGTTACCGTGATCAAAACAGACTAACCGTATAATTACCCTTTCTTTAAATTAGTGTTTTTTTTTACCCTTTCGAAAACAGCGAAGTAGTTTCTTTTCCCTAACTAAGAAGTGCAACATATAGGTTATTGTGGTACCACTTCGGAGAAACCCGCGTACCTTCAATAGCCTAGTCACCGACATCAAGGTTCAAGCCTGTACTCTTACTATTCGGAGGAAATTCGACAACTGACTAAGTCATTTTCTGACGTTTTATATGTTACAAAAACAATTATGTAAGTTGCCTTTAATTCAGTCAGCCTATTTTTTTTTTTAGCCTATATTTGTCTGCGCATCAGAATTTTTACCCTAGGCCATCAGGGTGGGACAAGCTAAGACCGTGATTAGGCAAGGTGGCCTAAAACCAACTTTGGGTCCCGGACTCGACCCACTTACACCTGGTCCGCGGTAAATCAATCGCCAATATCTTAACCACGTTTGTCGGCATGCTGGGTGTTTTCCGCTGGGTGGCAGAAATTGCTGTTCATACTTGACCGAACCAAGTTGGGGAATTGCTGAACCTTTTTTCGATATTTCAGATGGCGCCGTGCATGGGGCGAGCATCTTTTCCATCAGACTATTCACGAGAGAATCGCCACCGTCGATGTTTTTGCTTTCCTGAAACTCGAACATTCCAGATGGCGAAAAGGTCCATAGTGTTCCTTTTTGGGGGTACTATCAAAACTTTCCATGCTGTTCAGATATTTGGTGGTGAAAATAATGACCCGAATTTTGCAACTTTATCTTCACCACGGCCAGATAACCCAGAATCCTACTCCCCATTTTGGCGCGGTTAAAATACCGCGGACTAGGTGTATTCTGGCACGGGTGCCGTGGGTTTGACCCACGTTGGAGGATTGGATGTGCCAGCAAGCCGACAAGGAAACCGGAAATGGCGCGTTTCACGCAGATCTATTTTTAATGATGGTCAACGAAGGGAGCTGGCACGGAGGGAAAAGCGCAGAAGAGATGTACAGTAGGGCTGAGCAGACAGATGAGGGGATAATTTGGTCAAACTTACTATGTCATCTTGTCAACTTCGGCCAAGGTGGAAACGACCAAAGGTTGCAACATCCAGATGTCGGGTCGCCATTCCGGGAGCGCATGGATTATCCAGCAGAGCAGAGCATCATTGCCTGATGCACCAACCAGTTGTCAATCATGATGGACATGGAAGGAGTCTCTCTGTTCCGAAGCCTATCCCGGATGTACAGTGTAATCGGCGCAGGGCGGTAAGCCATACGTCTTGAGGGGGATGGAGCTGGAACCCGCGTGAGGCCTCTGCACCAAATGCGGGGTTGATCAGATGTGCCTTCAACGTGTAAGCCCCAAGCTCAATATCCGTTTTGCCCAACCCCTCGGCTCCGTGGCTCTCGGCGAGTCATACGCAGCCCTAGTAGTACCACTATCAGCGTTGTCAACTCTTCGCACGGCGTCGGTTGTTCCACCGCCGCCTTTCCCAAACGAGTCGTTCCCAGTACTAGTAGTACGGAGTGATTGCGGAGGCAGGGGTTCAACAAGTAGCAGTAAAATGGGAGGGTGGAGAGACTGGCTCGGAAAAGGTGGAGGGGTTGGAGAAAAAGAGGAAGAAACGGCAGGGGCGGGTGCGGATGATGAAGTGCCGCTGTTGGATGACGAGGAGGTGGCGCGGGCGGACAAGAAGGTCATTCAGGGTACTTCGCTCACCCACAGCCACCTAATCGCCTCCTACTCAGTGCTTAAAAGTCGTGTCTTCCTCGCCTCGCGGGTTTCTTGTTGCTTCTCAGTCCCTTTACCGCTGCTCCGCCGTCCGGTCGCGGCGGTGGTACAGGCACACGCAACTGCCCACAACCGCGTTGCATTCCCCTCTCCACCCCTCCCTCCCCCCATCCTGTGCGTTGCCCTTCCTCCCCCCCTCCCCCACCCCTTCCCCCATCACGCGTGCGCGCGCGGGGGCGGGCAGCGGTGTTTGAGCGAGTGGTGGAGGCGCAGGCGCAGCTGCACAACTACAAGAGCCTCGTCGTTTTCGCGCTCTTCACCGCCCTCTACCTCCTCATGCTCTGCCTTCAGGTGCCTCCTCATGCTCTGCCTTCAGGTGCCTCCTCATGCTCTGCCTTCAGGTGCCTCCTCATGCTCTGCGACAATGCAATTCTCGTGCTCTGCCTTCTTCTCCTGCTTCAGCTGCCTCCGGTGCTCGCTGTCAATCGTTGCTCGCTGTCAATCGTTGCTCGCTGTCAATCGTTGCTCGCTGTCAATCGGTGGTCGCTGTCAATCGGTGGTCGCTGTCAATCGGTGCTCGCTGTCAATCGTTGCTCGCTGTCAATCGTTGCTCGCTGTCAATCGGTGCTCGCTGTCAATCGGTGCTCGCTGTCAATCGGTGCTCGCTGTCAATCGGTGCTCGCTGTCAATCGATCCTGCTTGCTTCCTTGCTCCTCGCACGTGCTCCTCCTGTCGCGTGCGGATCTAACACTGGATGCACATGTCAGCGCTGATGAGCCATGAAACAGCGCGTCGCCAGGATGTTAACTTGACGGGGGTTGGGCATGGCGTGTGAGAAGGTCAGTCGACCCTGGTCCTGACCTTGCCGGTGCTGGTACTACTGGTCCTGGCCCCGCTGGCCCTGGCACTGCTGGTCCTGGCCCTGCTGGAACTGCTGGTCCGGGCCCTGGCTCTGGTCCTGGTGCCAGCGCGGCATGCTCATGCCCACTCACAACACACGACCTCTCATAGTTCCTGCATTGTGCATGCTCGCTCCTCCCCGTGTGTCACGCGTCCCCACCACCAGGCGCAGTCCTTCCAGAGCTACCACGTGGCCACCGCTCACAACGTCCTGCTGCCTCCGGTATGCCTTTGGCCGCCTCTCCTCTGCCTGCCTGCCTCGCTGGCCCCCTCTATGCGACTTCATTTGCTTGCTACTCTGGCACATGCCATTGCCACGCCACCACATGCCATTGCCACGCCACCACATGCCATTGCCCCCTCTCGCCACATACATCTCCCCTCTCGCCACATACATCTCCCCTCTCGCCACATGCCTCTCCCCTCTCGCCACATACATCTCCCCTCTCGCCACATACATCTCCCCTCTCGCCACATACATCTCCCCTCTCGCCACATACATCTCCCCTCTCGCCACATACATCTCCCCTCTCGCCACATATATCTCCCCTCTCGCCACATGCCTCTCCCCTCTCGCCACATGCCTCTCCCCTCTCGCCACATACATCTCCCCTCTCGCCACATACATCTCCCCTCTCGCCACATACATCTCCCCTCTCGCCACATGCCTCTCCCCTCTCGCCACATACAACTCTCCTCCAACCGCCGCCCCATGCAAGATGCTCTCTGTGTGCGAATCGAACCCATGTTGTGTGGTTGTGCTGGTGTGTGTGCGTGCTGTGAGGGCGGCAGGACTATTCAAAGACTGCAAGCTACTCCTTTGCCAGCAGCAGCGCTTTCTACACCTGGCTCAACGACAGCATCATTCAGGTGATTGCAACAACAGCATCATTCAGTTGATTCCAACGACAGCATCATTCAGGTGATTCCAACGACAGCATCATTTAGGTGATTCCAACGACAGCATCATTCAGGTGGTGCATCAACCATTTGATTCTTCACGGCTTCATTCTGTTGAGTTCTTCAAAGCTTCACCACAGGCAAGCAAGCGGGTCAATCCGCTGCGCTAAGTGCAGATCGACCTGGAAGGCTTAAAGGCGTCCCTGCTCTGCTTCCACCGCATTTCTCCACTCCCTCCCTCAGGCCGTATGGACGGACCCGCAGTGTGGCGACGGCACATGCACGCCCCCCATGGAGGTGCCAGCGGTGGGTCGCTTCGGGTGCGCCCTGGACTGCGGGTTGGCCAGCAACGTGACGGCGGTGACGGTGGCGCTGCGCTGGCGCTTTGCATCCACGGATGCCATGGCGGCCTCCTCCTGGAACCTCTGCTCCACCTCCATCCGCGACGTCTGCTGGTGAGCCGCCATCCGCCACGTCTGCTGGTGAGCCACCTGCACTGCGTGAGTCATTCTGTGTGAAAGGGTGTGTGCGTGTGTGAGCGAGTCAATGTTGTGGTACGCATGCACGTGTGAGTAAGTGGTGGTATGTCCATGAGAATTTGTTTTTTATCCTTCAGATTACGTCATAGTATCCTTTTGCTTACCCACACACGCTCTCCCCACACACCAGGTTCGAGGGTGCGCAGGTGTTCACGGAGGTGGCAGGCTGGCACACGCTCACGCTGCAGCTGCCAGACAACGACTGGTTCGTCTCACTCACTGCACCGGACGGCGGGGTGAGCGTGTACGTGTACGAGTCACAGCCCACCACCAGCCAGGACGGACCACTGCTGCCTTCAGCCTCCCTCGACGCAGCTGCGGCAGCAGCAGCATCAGCAGCACCGCCCTCCTCACCCACTCCCGCGCCTCCCCCCTCTAGCGCCGGCGCCCCTGCCTCCTCACCCTCTGCAGCGCCGTCTCCTTCGGGGGGCGTGAAGGGGAGGGTGCGGCCGTCCAACGGCACGGGCGCTAACGTGCTGCTGGCGCTCATCGATGGCTGCGTGGTGGATGGCGAGAGCGGTCTGCAGCGGTGCAGACAGGTATGATGGAGAGTAGTTATAGGCAGGCTGGTGCAGTGGAAAGGAGGGCGTGCAGTGCAATATAGTGCAGCGAGGTGCTGAGGGCCCGGTATTACCGGGTGGGTTTGCTGAGTGGCATGTGCTGAGTGGCATGGAGGCGACGTGCCGCTGTTAGCGTGTGGAATCTGTGGATCGCTGTGTGGCACATGGGGAGAGTAATGGGTAGCGGCGCAGAGCAGAGCAGTCTGACCTCACAACACAGAGCTGGCTGTGAGGTGGTGTCCTTCCTTGCATGCTACACCCTCACTCTCGTATGACTCGACCTCCTTGCCTGCACCTTATCCTCTCTCCGACTCCATCTCATCCCCACATGTCTTCTCTCCCTTTTTGCCCCAGACTTGTGCCGTTTGGACTCTCTGTCTTCCACAGCTGTGCACCAACAGTAGCAGCAGCGGCAGCACTAGCACTAGCACTAGCAGCGGTGATGCTACGGCTCCTCCCATGCGGGCGGCCTCCTTGGCTCTGGGCAGCTGCTTCCAGGCCTGCAACGCCATGCTGCCCCGCACTTCCTTCCTCCCACCTGACAACGTCTCCTGCCCCCAGGTACACTTAAATCACACTTGCTTGTCATGTTCCTTTTATCATTGAATCCTGCATGTATTCAAGAGCATCGGAAAGCAATCCAAACATTTTTTTGTGAAAGAAGTTGGCGAATATCCGGGAATAGTTTGGTAAGTGTGCGACTGAACCTTACTGGGTTGCTCACTGCCACATTCTCGAACGCCGCGGGATTCGACGCTCCGAGCAGATTTTGCGCGCGCTTGGTGAGAAACCTGTTCGACAAAACGAGATTAGGGCTAGAAATTTAGTTCACTTCTCACAGTCTAGGTTTTAATCTCGCAATGCATTCTGCTGCCGCATATGATAGTGCCAGATCCTCACAGCGAAAATGTCAGATCTGCGGGCATCTGGCTTCAAGATATCTGGAGAAGTTGAAGTTTTGGCTGTTCCCCTGGTCGTGTTCCCCTGGTCGTGTTCCTTTTTGCGATTCACCATTCCTGTCTTGCCTCTCCTGTCTCTCTTCCCTCTCTTTTATCGTCTGCCTCGCCTCACAGGCATTCAATCTCTTCGAGCCCTTCGTCCAGACACCCTCATGCACTGGTGCGGCCTCCCGCCCTCCCCACCCTCCTGCCCCTCCCCCCACCCTCCTGCCCTTCCCACTCTCCTGCCCTCCCCCCCACGCTCCTCCTCTCCCCACCGTCTTGCCCTGCCAACCCTCCTGCCCTCCCTACCCCTCTGCCCTCCCCACCCTCCTGCCCTCCCTACCCCTCTGCCCTCCCCACCCTCCTGCCCTCCCTACCCCCCTGCCCTTCCTACCCCTCTGCTGTCCCCACCCTCCTGTCCTGACCCCACTCACGCTTACTTACCTGCTATTTCATGGCCTTTCTCGTGATGCGGTGGGTTCTTTTCCTCCCAAATACCCCTAAAAAAAAATAAAATGTTTTTTACTGTCGTTTTCTACGATACCGTATTTGATCGTCAATTTTTGAGAAGAAACGACTTGCCTCATGTGCAGACATCCTTTCGGGAAATCCTGTTCCTGGTGAGGCAACCACAGCAACAGTGGCAGCCGAAGAAGCAGAAGCAGGCCCATCGTCTGCCCGCCTCCTTGCTGCGTTGGCTCCCGATGACACGAAAGAGCAGAGCCTCATGACGTCTGTCCTCCAGGTCCGCACTGCACTCTCTGCACTCTCTGCACTCTCTGCACCCTCTGCACTCTCTGCACTCTCTGCACTCTCTGCACTCTCTGCACTCTCTGCACTCTCTGCACTCTCTGCACTCTCTGCACTCTTTGCACTGCCTGCCCCGAGACATGACATGACACACCTGCCTGTTGCTCTCTCAGTGTTTTTCTTGGAGCACTCGTTTGGGACCTGTTCAGCAGCTGTATGCAGTGATGCTCATGCTGTATTTGCAGTATTTCCTCCCTGCGTTCCCCTTTGCCTTGTTTGTTTTGTCTCCCTTGCACTCGATGGCTGCCTTCTCGGCCACTGCGCTCTTTCCTCTCCTCTCCACTCCCCCCCTCCCCACCTCTCCCCCAACCTCCACTCCGCTCCGCTCTCCACCCCCTGCTGCTCGCCGCTGCCACGTGCAGCACCACCAGCAGGTGAGGCAGCAGCTGCAGGAGACGAGGGCGCAGCAGCATGAGGCGGTTGAAGCAGCAAGGCAGCAGCATGCCGTGGGGGAGGCACACGTCTCCGCCACTGCCACCACTCCCAACACCACCACCACCCGCCTCTGGCCACCACAGGGGCCTCCCACTCCGCCTCCATCGCCACCAGGTGCCTGCTGCTTCCCCACCCGAGGCTTCACTTCTTTTCCTGCTGCTCTCTTTGCCTTGCACGTTCTTCTCTCTTTGCCTTGCACGTTCTGCTCTCTTTGTCTTGCAAGTTCTGCTCTCTTTGCCTTGCACGTTCTGCTCTCGTTGCCTTGCACGTTCTTCTCTCTTTGCCTTGCACGTTCTGCTCTCTTTGCCTTGCACGTTCCGCTCTCTTTGCCTTGCACGTTCTTCTCTCTTTGCCTTGCACGTTCTGCTCTCTTTGCCTTGCACGTTCTGCTCTCTTTGCCTTGCATGTTCTGCTCTCTTTGCCTTGCACGTTCTGCTCTCTTTGCCTTCCACGTTCTGCTCTCTTTGCCTTGCACGTTCTTCTCTCTTTGCCTTGCACGTTCTGCTCTCTTTGCGTTGCACGTTCTGCTCTCTTTGCCTTGCACGTTCTTCTCTCTTTGCCTTGCACGTTCTGCTCTCTTTGCCTTGCACGTTCTGCTCTCTTTGCCTTGCACGTTCTGCTCTCTTTGCCTTGCACGTTCTGCTCTCTTTGCCTTGCACGTTCTGCTCTCTTTGCCTTGCACGTTCTGCTCTCTTTGCCTTGCACGTTCTGCTCTCTTTGCCTTGCACGTTCTTCTCTCTTTGCCTTGCACGTTCTTCTCTCTTTGCCTTGCACGTTCTTCTCTCTTTGCCTTGCACATTCTTCTCTCGTTGCCTTGCACGTTCTGCTCTCTTTGCCTTGCACGTTCTGCTCTCTTTGCCTTGCACGTTCTGCTCTCGTTGCCTTGCACGTTCTTCTCTCTTTGCCTTGCACGTTCTGCTCTCTTTGCCTTGCACGTTCCGCTCTCTTTGCCTTGCACGTTCTTCTCTCTTTGCCTTGCACGTTCTGCTCTCTTTGCCTTGCACGTTCTGCTCTCTTTGCCTTGCACGTTCTTCTCTCTTTGCCTTGCACGTTCTTCTCTCTTTGCCTTGCACGTTCTTCTCTCTTTGCCTTGCACGTTCTTCTCTCTTTGCCTTGCACGTTCTTCTCTCGTTGCCTTGCACGTTCTGCTCTCTTTGCCTTGCACGTTCTGCTCTCTTTGCCTTGCACGTTCTGCTCTCGTTGCCTTGCACGTTCTTCTCTCTTTGCCTTGCACGTTCTGCTCTCTTTGCCTTGCACGTTCCGCTCTCTTTGCCTTGCACGTTCTTCTCTCTTTGCCTTGCACGTTCTGCTCTCGTTGCCTTGCACGTTCTTCTCTCTTTGCCTTGCACGTTCTGCTCTCTTTGCCTTGCACGTTCCGCTCTCTTTGCCTTGCACGTTCTTCTCTCTTTGCCTTGCACGTTCTGCTCTCTTTGCCTTGCACGTTCTGCTCTCTTTGCCTTGCATGTTCTGCTCTCTTTGCCTTGCACGTTCTGCTCTCTTTGCCTTCCACGTTCTGCTCTCTTTGCCTTGCATGTTCTTCTCTCTTTGCCTTGCACGTTCTGCTCTCTTTGCGTTGCACGTTCTGCTCTCTTTGCCTTGCACGTTCTTCTCTCTTTGCCTTGCACGTTCTGCTCTCTTTGCCTTGCACGTTCTGCTCTCTTTGCCTTGCACGTTCTGCTCTCTTTGCCTTGCACGTTCTGCTCTCTTTGCCTTGCACGTTCTGCTCTCTTTGCCTTGCACGTTCTTCTCTCTTTTCCTTGCACGTTTTTCTCTCTTTGCCTTGCACGTTCTTCTCTCTTTGCCTTGCACATTCTTCTCTCGTTGCCTTGCACGTTCTGCTCTCTTTGCCTTGCACGCTCTGCTCTCTTTGCCTTGCACGTTCTGCTCTCGTTGCCTTGCACGTTCTTCTCTCTTTGCCTTGCACGTTCTGCTCTCTTTGCCTTGCACGTTCCGCTCTCTTTGCCTTGCACGTTCTTCTCTCTTTGCCTTGCACGTTCTGCTCTCTTTGCCTTGCACGTTCTGCTCTCTTTGCCTTGCACGTTCTTCTATCTTTGCCTTGCACGTTCTTCTCTCTTTGCCTTGCACGTTCTTCTCTCTTTGCCTTGCACGTTCTTCTCTCTTTGCCTTGCACGTTCTTCTCTCGTTGCCTTGCACGTTCTGCTCTCTTTGCCTTGCACGTTCTGCTCTCTTTGCCTTGCACGTTCTGCTCTCGTTGCCTTGCACGTTCTTCTCTCTTTGCCTTGCACGTTCTGCTCTCTTTGCCTTGCACGTTCCGCTCTCTTTGCCTTGCACGTTCTTCTCTCTTTGCCTTGCACGTTCTGCTCTCTTTGCCTTGCACGTTCTGCTCTCTTTGCCTTGCACGTTCTTCTATCTTTGCCTTGCACGTTCTTCTCTCTTTGCCTTGCACGTTCTTCTCTCTTTGCCTTGCACGTTCTTCTCTCTTTGCCTTGCACGTTCTTCTCTCGTTGCCTTGCACGTTCCGCTCTCTTTGCCTTGCACGTTCTTCTCTCTTTGCCTTGCACGTTCTGCTCTCTTTGCCTTGCACGTTCTGCTCTCTTTGCCTTGCATGTTCTGCTCTCTTTGCCTTGCACGTTCTGCTCTCTTTGCCTTCCACGTTCTGCTCTCTTTGCCTTGCATGTTCTTCTCTCTTTGCCTTGCACGTTCTGCTCTCTTTGCGTTGCACGTTCTGCTCTCTTTGCCTTGCACGTTCTTCTCTCTTTGCCTTGCACGTTCTGCTCTCTTTGCCTTGCACGTTCTGCTCTCTTTGCCTTGCACGTTCTGCTCTCTTTGCCTTGCACGTTCTGCTCTCTTTGCCTTGCACGTTCTGCTCTCTTTGCCTTGCACGTTCTGCTCTCGTTGCCTTGCACGTTCTTCTCTCTTTGCCTTGCACGTTCTGCTCTCTTTGCCTTGCACGTTCCGCTCTCTTTGCCTTGCACGTTCTTCTCTCTTTGCCTTGCACGTTCTGCTCTCTTTGCCTTGCACGTTCTGCTCTCTTTGCCTTGCACGTTCTTCTCTCTTTGCCTTGCACGTTCTTCTCTCTTTGCCTTGCACGTTCTGCTCTCTTTGCCTTGCACGTTCTGCTCTCTTTGCCTTGCACGTTCTGCTCTCGTTGCTTTGCACGTTCTTCTCTCTTTGCCTTGCACGTTCTGCTCTCTTTGCCTTGCACGTTCTGCTCTCTTTGCCTTGCACGTTCTTCTCTCTTTGCCTTGCACGTTCTGCTCTCTTTGCCTTGCACGTTCGGCTCTCTTTGCCTTGCACGTTCTTCTCTCTTTGCCTTGCACGTTCTTCTCTCTTTGCCTTGCACGTTCTGCTCTCTTTGCCTTGCACGTTCTTCTCTCTTTGCCTTGCACGTTCCGCTCTCTTTGCCTTGCACGTTCTGCTCTCTTTGCCTTGCACGTTCTTCTCTCTTTGCCTTGCACGTTCTGCTCTCGTTGCCTTGCACGTTCTGCTCTCTTTGCCTTGCACGTTCTGCTCTCGTTGCCCTGCACGTTCTTCACCTATCTCATCTCCAAACCTGCCTGCCCGGCACAGCGCTCAGCGCCGGTGCATTGTGAACCGACTGTTGCCTTTTTGTTGTGCGCCATCCTATTCGGGCTGGGATGGTTGAGCCACAATATACGCCCACCCGTTCGACACGGCTCGGCGGTGTGACTTTTGTTGAGTGGGCCTCTATTGAGCCCCTGATTAATGGCAAATACATTGAGCTGGCCACGACTGTTCCCTACTAATTTCTGGGATGTAAGCATATGGCTGCTTAGACACACAGTCGTTTACATACTTCAAACAAACGAAACTGGTTCAACCGGAACCACAACGGTTCAACTTGAGTCCCTTTGAGCTGCCCCTTGAAGACTCGGATATTAAACCGTGAGCTGTTCAGGCTGGTTCCACCCAAACCGGACTAGTTTGGTTTGGTTTGATCATGCCTGCCAGTTCAGGCAGTTCAAATCAAACGGGTTTGATTTGAGGTTCTGCTCATGCCTCCAATGGCTCAAGCGCGAAGGGGATTCTGTTCCTACTATAGCCTTCCTCTCTCCGTGGTACATTGTTTTTGACATGTAAAGATTCTCCTCTGTACTTGCATTGCAAGGGGCCCCTCACCTCAAAGGTCGCACGGCCTTCCGGTCTTCTTCACACATTGCCTTCCCCTATGCCCTTCCCTGCACCCGCCCTTCCTTGCACCCGCCCTGCCCTGCAGCGTCTGCCGCTGCGCCAATCAAGCGAGACCAGCTGCTCGCTTGGGAGAGCCTCGGGACAGCCAATGACGAGCGAATCAGGGCGTGCCAGGTGGCAGTGGCGCGGGCGCTGTACACCGTAGTGAAGGAGAACTGCCTGGCCGGGCCGACCGGTGGCGCCAGCAATGATACCACCAGCAGCAGCAGCAGCAGCAGCAGCAGCAGCATGGGCAGCGGCGGGTTGTTTCTATCGTCCTCGCCGGCCAAGAGCCTCTCCCTTGCCTCTCGCAATCGCCTCGTCGCCTTCCTCTGCACACTCTTTGGCGGCCCTGTGGCCGACCACCCCCTCTGCAACTTCACGGAACCCTCCTCTGGGCGGCAGTTAAAGGATCAAGCAGAGCTCTTGGAATACATTCGAGCGACTCACCGCACGTACGGGGCTCACAGGGGGGGCTGAGAGGGGGGCTGGGAGAAGAGATGGGAGGGAGGGGGCTGACTGGATGCTCACAGAGGGGGTGAAAAGGGGGCCGAGATGGTGAGCTCATAGGGGGGCTGAGAGGGGGACTGAGAAGGCTCGTGGTTGCTCCCTCTAGGCTAGATCCCACTTCTTCTCCAGCTTAGAAGGCCACCCAGTTTGCTTTTCTATCCTCTCACGCCCACTCTCCCCATTTTCCACCTTTCCCCCTCCTCCGCTACCTCGCCTCCTTCCACTCACCGTCATCTGTTGTCGCCATTGTCCCCAATCCCCTGGACCCCTGCTCATCCCACCCCTGCTCATCCCACCCCTGAACCCCCTGCGCAGTCCATCTCGGCGCTTCTCTGCCGCCCAGCAGTCTCTCTTCATCCAAATCCTCATCATGGCGCTGCAGTCAGTCGTGCAGAAGATGCCAGATGATGCCGTCCAAGCTGCCACTCGCCTGCTGCATGCCTATGACGATGCAGTCGTCTCCAATGCTTCTTCCTGCCCCCAAGGTGCCCTTTGCGTGCTTACTCGCCCCATTCACGTCGCTCAGCTCTCGTGTTCTGCTGGCTCTGCTGCCAATGGACAACCCTCTGCTGCCAATGGACAACCCTCTGCTGCCAATGGACAACCCTCTGCTGCCAATGGGCAACCCTCTCCATTGCCCCACTCACTCACTCACTTCGCTTCAATTTGTTCCCACCCCCTATTGCTTCCCCTCTTCTCTTCCCTCTTTCCCTCCATTCCTGAACCTCCCTCTCTCTTTCCTCCCCTTTCCCCCCACAGCCGACTTCACAGTGCTGTGGGACTCAACCTCCTTCGCCCGCCGGGCCATTGCGGACGGCCAGAGGGTCACGTGGGTGTGGAATGACGACAATTACCACGAGCTCAGAGGTGCGCCTGTAGCGAGCTCAGAGGTGCGCCTGTAGCGAGCTCAGAGGTGCGCCTGTAGCGAGCTCAGAGGTGCGCCTGTAGAGAGGTGAAGGATTGCGGGGTAGTAATGAGGTGAGCACGAGCGGGCCACATGAGGTGAGTGGCAACCCGCGGCGGGTGGCTCGTGGATGTCATGCTTGATGCGCCCACCCGACCTGCCTTGCCTTCACACCCTGCCACGGTTGTGGCGCTATGTGAATCGCTGAATTGCTCAAGTCAAATTCCGGCATCATATCTCGTTGGCTCTTTGATGGGAATCCGCGTCTATGTGGGCTTCCAACAGTGGCAAGGTTACAAACGAGCCACAAGCCTCCCTGGCTCGTGACAAGCCAGCCATGTGAAAACGATAGCCTTACTTGGGTCGTGGTTTCCCAGTCAGTCGTTACTTGATGCTCATGCCCATCGACTTGTGTGAGGCACCAGCATGCCATGAGGCACCTGATTGCTGCAGCGAAACCATGGGAGGCTCAGCTGTTCCTCATCGATCCCATCTGCTTGTTTCCTCCCTGAATTCTCAGGCTGCTCCCTCCCGCACTCCTCCACTGCTCCCCTCTGCACTCCTCCACTGCTCCCCTCTGCACTCCTCCACTGCTCCCCTCTGCACTCCTCCACTGCTCCCCTCTGCACTCCTTCACTACTCCCTCCTGCACTCCTCCACTGCTCCCCTCTGCACTCCTCCACTGCTCCCCTCTGCACTCCTCCACTGCTCCCCTCTGCACTCCTCCACTGCTCCCCTCTGCACTCCTTCACTACTCCCTCCTGCACTCCTTCACTGCTCCCTCCTGCACTCCTCCACTGCTCCCCTCTGCACTCCTCCACTGCTCCCCTCTGCACTCCTTCACTACTCCCTCCTGCACTCCTTCACTGCTCCCTCCTGCACTCCTTCACTGCTCCCTCCTGCACTCCTCCACTGCTCCCCTCTGCACTCCTCCACTGCTCCCCTCTGCACTCCTCCACTGCTCCCCTCTGCACTCCTCCACTGCTCCCCTCTGCACTCCTTCACTACTCCCTCCTGCACTCCTTCACTGCTCCCTCCTGCACTCCTCCACTGCTCCCCTCTGCACTCCTCCACTGCTCCCCTCTGCACTCCTCCACTGCTCCCCTCTGCACTCCTCCACTGCAGGGCCGGTGAGCTCAGAGCCGTTTCTTGGGTTTGGAGCAGGGAGGCTCGGCCTATCACGGCTTGCCACGTGTGCATGGGACAACATCGGGCCCAGAGATGCGACGGATGAGCCTGCGCCATGCGTGCTGCGTGAGTACATTGTAGCGATGACGTGGCATGGAAGGAGTGGTAAGAAGCATATGTGAAATGTGTGCTCTGATTCGAAGAGGTAAGCTTTCTCACAGGGTGCACACGCTCCTCACGCTCCTCACGCTCCTCACGCTCCTCACGCTCCTCACGCTCCTCACGCTCCTCACGCTCCTCACGCTCCTCACGCTCCTCACGCTCCTCACGCTCCTCACGCTCCTCACACTCCTCATACTCCACACCCTCCTGCCCACAGGGTCGCCTGGCGACAAGGCAGGGGCGCATTTCACGTACACCAAGGTGTTTGGCACGGCGCAGGACATGACCGTCAAGGACTCGCCGCAGTCGCTCGCCTCCACTCTCCTCCGCGCCACCCCCCACCCAGGTGCGCCCATCCCCCAGCCAGGGTGCCACCCCCCAGCCAGGTCAGCCCATCCCTGCAAGGCAGTGCCACCCCTCGCCCATGTGCCACCCCCCACGCCCACCCATGTTCCACCCCCCACCATGTTCCACCCCCCACCACGTTCCACCCCCCACGATGTGCCACCCCCCACCATGTTCCACCCCCCACCATGTTCCACCCCCCACCATGTTCCACCCCCCACCCATGTTCCACCCCCCACCCATGTTCCACCCCCCACCATGTTCCATCCCCCACCCATGTTCCACCCCCCACCATGTGCCACCCCCCACCATGTTCCACCCCCCACCATGTTCCACCCCCCACCATGTTCCACCCCCCACCATGTTCCACCCCCCACCATGTGCCAACCCCAACCCATGCGCGGCCATTCCAGGCACCAGTGGCACTGCCACGTGACAATCACTCGCACACACACACATGCATGCACGGGCCATCCGTCCTTCAAGCTGCCTCACCTCACCGTCGCTCTCCCCTCCCTCTGCATGCGCTCTGCCATCTCGCCTTCTGCCATCGCCCTCTGCCATCGCCCTCTGCCATCTCGCCCTCTGCCATCTCGCCTTCTGCCATGGCCCTCTGCCATGGCCCTCTGCTCTGCGATGCTCATTGCAACCATCCCTGCAACGTGGCACTCTCTCACCCATCCTCTCGCCTGTCTCCATGCACTGCCCTCGCCCTGCCCACCCGCCTGCCCCCCAGCAGAGCCGCCACCAGCCACGTCTCTGCGGCCGTACGAGCAGCTGCTGGCCACGCGCTGTGCGCCCGCGTGTGCGCTGGCCATGCTGGCCAATGGCCGCTGCGACCCCGCATGCAACGTGGCTACCTGTGACTTCGATGGGGGCGACTGTGCCTGCGCCACTGCCGGCGCTGCTGGCGGCAGCAGCAGTGGAAGCGCTGGAGCCGATGTGCAGTGGTGTGAATGCTCGGTGCTGCAAACGCGGGGGGTTGATGGTGGTAAGCAGGAAGATGCATTCAGTCTCATCACAGATATCTGCGTGTCCCTCTAGCCTCTAGACATGCTACCTTTACGCTGAAGCCTGGGTGGGTGTTGCGGATCTGTTTCCATGCAATGTGTGCTTTCATGCAATGTGTGCTTTCATGTAATCTGTGTTTTCTTGCAACGTGTGTTTTCTTCTCCCGCTGTTCTCCCTCCTCCCCGTCGTCCCCCTCTGCTCCCCCTCTGCTCCCTCCACTTGTGCTGTGCGCCACCCACCGGGGGGATCTGGGTCATGCAATGTGTGCTTCCGTCCAACGTCTGCTTCCCCATCCTCCCCCATTCTCCTCCCCCTTCACGCCCCCCCCCCCCCCCCCCCCCCCCTTCTCCCCCGAATTCTCTCGACCTTCTCCCGCTTGCTCCACAGCGTGCTGTGAGGCGGCGGGAGTGGGAGAGGGCATCAAGGTGCCCTTCAGGCTGCGCCGCTTTGGCTCCACCGTGCATCCCCTCGACGCCACTCCCGCCACCAACGCCTCTCTGCTGCCGCGCACTGTCTCCCAGTACAACAGGTGCCGCACTGTCTCCCAGTGCAACAGGTGCCGCACTGTCTCCCAGTACAACAGGTGCCGCACTGTCTCCCAGTACAACAGGTGCCGCACTGTCTCCCAGTACAACAGGTGCCGCACTGTCTCCCAGTACAACAGGTGCCGCACTGTCTCCCAGTACAACAGGTGCCGCACTGTCTCCCAGTACAACAGGTGCTGCACTGTCTCCCCGTACAACAGGTGCCACACTGTCTCCCAGTACAACAGGTGCCGCACTGTCTCCCAGTACAACAGGTGCCGCACTGTCTCCCAGTACAACAGGTGCCGCACTGTCTCCCAGTACAACAGGTGCCGCACTGTCTCCCCGTACAACAGGTGCCACACTGTCTCCCAGTACAACAGGTGCCGCACTGTCTCCCAGTACAACAGGTGCCGCACTGTCTCCCAGTACAACAGGTGCCGCACTGTCTCCCAGTACAACAGGTGCCGCACTGTCTCCCAGTACAACAGGTGCCGCACTGTCTCCCAGTACAACAGGTGCCGCACTGTCTCCCAGTACAACAGGTGCCGCACTGTCTCCCAGTACAACAGGTTTGCTCCCCTCTGAGCAGGTTTTCTCTTATCAACAGGTTTCGCCGGGCTTTCGGCTGGCCCAAATTTGCCGGACGTGTCACAACAGAGTACCCGGGCCGGCCGATCAGGTTTGGGCCGAGCCAGCCCTACCTGGGTTCGATGCTTCCCCATGGAGCCCGAGCCTTTCAACACTCACCTATGTGTCCGTCCTTTGTTCGGTTCTGATGATGTTGTTGCTTCCATCATCCCATGTTGCCTTTCTGGAACTCACTTCGCCACCAATACCACTGTGCCCTATCAACTTGCTCCTTTCTCACTCATTGCACCATGCGCTGTGTTCCCGTGCATGCATGCAATGGGCGTGGCTCGCGTGTGTCGCATCCCGCAGTGTGCTGGTGGGGCTGGTCATTGTGCAGTACCGCTGGAACTCTGACCGCTGTGGTAACAGCAGGTTAGTCTCCCTCCCGACCCCAAACCAATCATCAACAGTCAAGAGCATCTGACCTGACCGTATGCAGGTTCTCCAGCCCCATGCACCTTTTCTGTCAAACCCTCTCACGCTGCTTGTGTGCATGCCAGCCCACGTCCACCAGTCCTCTCCTGCCTCCTGCAGGTTCTCCAGCCCCCTGCACCTTTTGAATCAGGCCCCTCTCACATACCCACATTCACCATTCCTCTCATTCCTCCCCTCTCATCCGCCGCTCCCCCCTGCCTCACCCGGCGTGGCAGGTTCCACTTCCAGGACGCATGTGTGGGGGGGGAGTCGTCGAGGGCGTTTGGGGTGAACCCGGTGTTCCTGCCGTCCTCGTCGCTCTACAACCCCAATGTCGCCGTCAGCAACACCACTGCCTTCACCAACCAGCCCTTCGCCAACCCCTTTGAGCTCAACGCCAAGGGGCTGCCCTTCGGCTTCCAGCAGCTCGTGAGTCCCACCTCGCCTTCACCCATGCGCACCACCTCCCCCTCCAGTCCAGACCCCTTCCTTCCTTTGGTACTTCACTCTCCTCATGGCCCATTGTGGGCCGATTCAGGCTCCATCCATGCTGCTGATGCGTTGAGTCGATCCTGATTGAGACGTATGAACCTTGATGTGCCTGTGCAGTCAGTCAGTGCAAAAGATGCCTCTCTTGCTCTCTACACTCCCTTGCACTCCCTTGCACTCCCTTGCACTCCCTTGCACTCGCAACCCAACCCCCACCGTGTCCACAGCCCGGCAGCGGGCGCTTCCCGATCGTGTTTGACGTGAATCTGGACAACGCGGGGGCAACGCGGCGGCTGCAGTACTTGGTGGACGGCTTCTTCATCGACAACTACACCCGCACCATCCACGTTGGCCTCATCACCCGCAATGGTAATTTGCCTCGCATAACCCGCAATGGTACTGTGAACTCTGTGTGCCTGTGTATTCACCTTGTTGACTGGCTTTCAGCCTGTGTGAGCTTCCCTCTCTTGTCTGCATGTGCACTCACCCTCTTTGTTCCCCCCCACCCCCCCGCCCCCCTTTGCCGGGCAGCCAACGAGCATCTATTCACGGCCACCAAGGCCACCCTGACGGTGCAGTCGGGCGGCAGCATGGAGGCGTCATTCCAAGTGCAGCCGGTGAACGTGGAGTACTACAACATGAATGAGAGCAGCAACGTGCTGCGCCTCGTGGTCGAGCTGCTCTTTGTGGCCGCGGTGGCGTGGAGCATCGTGGAGGAGGTGAAGGAGATGCTGTGGACGTGGAAGGTGCAGCGCCGCTCCTTCTGGCACTACGCAAGCAAGGGCTGGAACTGGGTGGACTGGCTCTCCATCGCCCTCCAGATCACCGCCATCGCCATCTGGTCAGCATCCTTGGGGTGCCCACGCATGGGTTGAAGAGGCATGGTGGTGAAGAGACATGGGGTGACAGGGCAAGTTGAAGTGGTGAGGTGGGGATTGAGTGTGGTGGATCATTCGTGTGGTGGATCATTCGTGTGATGCTTTCATTGGAGGAGTGCATTTGGGTGCTGTCTGACAGGCATACGGCACACGCCAACCACCTTCATCTTCATTTCAATGGCGAGTCCTGTTGCATGAAGTCAGCCCTCCCAAGTCTGCATGGGTTGGTGATGCATGGTGTGGGCAAGGCATGGGGTGACGACCAGCCATGGGGTGGCGGGGCATGGGATGATCAGGCATGGGAAAAAAGCAAGAGGTGAGAGTGGATTGATTGTGGTGGTTCAGTCACCTCCTGCTCACGACGGTAGAGGAGTGAAAAGCCTATATCAGTTTCTCGCACTTGCTGCCATGGCACGTACAGGATATCAGTGGCGGTGACGCGAGCACAGGGGTTCACCATCCAGCCTCACTACGACATCTACTACACGCTCGACGACAACCCGCGCTACTGGTCGCTGCCCAACCCACCCGTGGGCTATCAGGCCGCCATGTCAGCAGTGGACACGCTTGGCTTCGTCACCAACCTCTGCGCCGTCTACTTTGCCCTTCAGGGCATCAAGTGAGTTGTACTCTCTCCTCTATCATACCTCTGCATCACAACATCAGCGACGGGTCATATTGGGTCGGGTTGAATCGGCCCAACCTGGGGTGTCAGCTGGGTTCAGGTTGGTGCTCTGTGGGTTCAACCAGACCCGACCTAACCCAGCTCTCGGGTCGGGATATGCCAACTGCTCGACCCAGTCCAAGCCCAGGCACGTGACATCCTGACCCACGCGTTGGGCCAGGTCATCCTGTTTCTCAAGCCTCGAGCCTCTCTCTCTTCTCTTCCTCATCCGTCCCGTCTGTTCTGTCTCTCCCCTCTCTTCCCTCCTCCCCTCTCCTCACCTTATGTCGCACTCCACCTGTGCCTTTTCTCCCCTTCCCCGCTTCTCCCCATTTCCCCCACTCTTTGCGCTCTGACCTCTCTCCTTTCTCGTCCTTGTTTCAATTCTTCCCTCACCCCCCTGTCCTCTATCTTCCATACTGCCTCTGTTGTTCTCTAGAACGCTTTCCCTGTGTCCCTCAGGTCATGAGCACAAAAGCCGTCTCCCATGTGTCTCATCTCTTGCTTATCTTTCCCCATCTTTCTTGTCACCATCCGACCCCGCCAGTGTGTTCATCATGGTGCTGCGCCTCTTGAAGCTGATGGACTTTCAGCCCAACATGGGCATCATGACTCGCTCCCTCCGAGTCGCCATGCCGTCTCTCCTCCACTTCTTCATTCTCTTCTTCGTTGTCTTCGTGGCATATGCCATCTACGGCTACCTGGTGTTCGGGATGACCTTGGAGCAGGTGTGTGCTGCGTGCTATGCATGCTTCTGTTCAGCTCAAATGTGCAACTCATTTTATTGCATGGTTTTTCTAGTTGCTTTATTTCTTTCCCTGTATCTTGACAGAATCCTGTGTGGGGGTGGGTTGGGGAGGACGTGTGCACCTATGCATAAGCAGAGTCGGCTAGTCAGGAGATGAGGCTTGGAATTGATTGAGTGACGACTCCCTTAGTTTTTCATTCCAAGAAAACCCACGCGATGCGATATGAGTTCTGCGCGAAACAAAATCACGTCGAAGCCAAGAGGCACCTCAATAACAAGCAATACTGAACTACTCGACTTGAACCATACCCTGTTCGAGTCGAACCATAAGTTACAAAAAGCTTTACTCTGGATGATTGAGACAATGGCGTCATATCTGTCTAAGGTCCTTAGCTTACAACTATGACACACCTCCTTAAACATGAAAAGGCACGCTAAGGAAAACGCGGATGGAGTGGGTCGTTCTGTCTACTCGCTGCAAGCTAGGAGTGACATTAGGGTTTGGGTTGAGCTAGCTAGCCGTTTGGAGACGTGTAGGTCCGGCCTAGAACCGTGCTGACACGAATCAGTTTGGTTTCATTGTAGCGATCCAGTTACTGTACTATGATTAACCACGAGACTGCTTTTGGCTAATCCGGTCCGATTACAAACCAGTGCAGTTCCTAACCTGTTCGGTTCGGTACTGTGCTCATGCCTACGAGGAGCCATGGATGGCGAGGTGAAAAGGTTGCATGAGTTAGGTGAGAGCATTAAGAAATATATTTGGTTGGGTGAAACTCCAACTAAACCTTGTCCATTTTCATTTGAAGAAACGAACCACAGAATGAACCGTAACCTGAGATGGGGTTAAGTCTTAATTGGCCGAATAATAATGTAAGGCTAGTACGAAATACAGAGCATAATCAAGCCTACATTAGCTCTTCCCCTGGCTAGGTGAAGCTTTGAAGAGGAGCACCTCGCAAAACACCCCGGAACTGGGGAGGTGAGGCCAAGTGCGCCACGTAGGCATGGTTGGGTGGCGAAGGAGGGCTCTTGTAGAGTTATCGGCAAGGTTGACCTCCTGAAGACGGAGGAAGCGACAATGCAGCTCACGAGGGAAGATTTGGTGCACGTCGTTCTGCTCGCAGTGACCGTGGAAGTCTAGAATCTTAGTGAGGTAAATCATGCTTGCAATATCATGGGCTAGCAGTATAGAGGTTGCAAGGTTCGATCTTACTCTGGATATAAACTAGACAAGTGTTACAAACACTCAACAAATTATTACCGAGACTAGAAAAATCCTATCAGTCTTCTTCGGTAACTTCCAGGCAATAGAAGTTTTGCCTTGTAAGTAATAAATGTGTCATCTTGTCCAAGTGTATTTGCAGTGGAGCTAAAATCCGAAATCTCATTTTGGCGGATATTTTTCTTGTGAGATCCGCCAGGCATAGGTTAGTCCTTTAGGTTCCCTAAGCAGGTTTTCACTGAACACAGACTCTCCGGTGCAAAGCAACGGTGCTTTAAGTTCGTGGCTGTGTCCGTGGAGCTAGAACAGGCCGTGAAGAACATGGCCGCAGCCATGCATGACAAGGTGGGAGGGGGAGGAGAGAGGCGGTAATGGCCGGCGCTGCAGCCAAGGGCCGCAGCCCTTGGATGCAGAATGATGCGGGTTACCGGGGTTTCAAGGCTGCTGCAGGTTGATGTGCTACGTCGTTACTGCCACCAACGTCTATGCCGGTTGCTGGCAAGTTCTACCCAGCCGAGTGGTTAAAAAGCTCATCTACACTGACGAGTAACGAGTCTGACAATAGGTGGAAACAATTTGGCGGGATGCCGCCAGTAATGAGGCGAGTTCTAGTAACCTCGTCACTTTGTTCAAGCCACGTGGATGGTGTGACAATGTGGAATGCGTACCAAGAGGCAATCAGTGCTGGATGCAAACATGTTACGCAGAGAGAAAAGAGCAGGATTGTCGGTAGTAAGCCCAATTTTCTGAATTGCGTGCGTGCTTGGACAGAAGCTTGGTCGAATTCTTATGTTCACAATGCTGCTTGCCTAAAATGGGGTCACTTTCCTAATCAGCGTAAGATTCTCCAGAGTGTCTACGAATGCAGGTTTGCATATGTGTGATTTTTTTCCTTCACTGCCCTCTTTTCCCCCAAGTGCAGTTCAGCACGCTGTGGCTGTCCCTGCAGACCTGCTTCTACATGATCGTGGGGCAGTTCTACGTGTCGTGGTTCCAGCAGATGGTGGGGTGGCAGTACGCGGCGGCCATGGTGTTCTGGTTCTCCTTCGTCATCATCTTCTGCTTCATCCTCTTCAACTTCCTCATCGCCATCATCGTGGATGCCTTCATGGCCATCAAGGTCAGTCAACAAAGGTCAACAGCAGTCAAGGTGAGTCAATGCTGGTCAACAGCAAACAAGGTGAGTCAATGCTGGTCAGCAGCAGTCATGGCCGTCAAGGTCAGTCAACAAAGGTCAACAGCAGTCGAGGTCAGTCAACGCCGGTCAACAGCAGTCAAGGTGAGTCGATGCCGGTCAACTGCAGTCAAGGTGACACAATGCTGGTCAACAGCAGTCAAGGTGAGTCAACGCTGGTCAACTGCAGTCAAGGTGAGTCAGCACAGGTCAACAGGTTGGAACAAGTCAATGACGGTGAGTGCAAGTCAACAGTTGTCAACTTGAGTCAATGGATCTATTGCAGGTCAAGTGGGGTCTATACAAATCAACGGAAATGATATTGTGGTTCGTCATTGTCATTACCTGATTCTTTGTGCTCTTTACCCTCCCTCCCTCCCACCCTCCCTCCCTCCCTCCCTCCCTCGCTCCCTCTCGCCCTTGTCTGCTGACCGACCTGCACGGTTGGCAGGAGTCATCGGACAAAGCACCGGCAATCTACCAGGATATGTACTTGATTGTGGTGCGCTTCTTCCGCCGCGTGGCATCGCCGTACACAAGGTACAGCCGCCTGCTGCGCCACCTCATTCGCCTCGGAGCAGAGAACACCGCCAATGCGGTCATGGAGGTGAGCGGCCCGGCCAGGGAGGTGAGTGGGCAGGGAGGTGAGCGGGCAGGGAGGTGAGCGGTCATGTGAGCATGGGAATGCAGGTGCTGGGAGAGTGTGGAGTGCTTTATGAGCTTGATAGTCCAATTTCTGACCTGCATGACCTGCATGGCCTGAGCCCCAGTCGAGCCACTACGAGTTCGATGTGTTCAACCTTATTCAATCAATTCATCCTTCAAGCTCTACACCATAGTCTGCCATGCAGGAGGCTGACCTCTGGCCAAAGCTTTCCTGCGTTCTTTCCTGCTCGGCGTCCCACTGCCTCTGCCCTCTTACGGAACCGCTTTCCATCCCTTCCCATTGTCCCATTGTCCGCCACTCTGCAGAAAAGCCTTGGGAAGTCTGGTCAGCAATGCCTCTCCTCGAGCTTTCAGTGCAGCAGGGAGGTGAGAGGCAGCAGGCGTGATACTGATGGAGAAAGGTGGGAGGATGCTGACAGTGATGGCGAACTGGGGAGAATTGGAGCAGAGGAGGGAAGGGAGGAGAAAGAAGAGGAGAAGAGGGGGGGTGGTGCGACGGAAGGTGTTCCTTACAATGCCTTGCAAGCACAGGCCCATTTTGATGCGCAGCAACAAGTGCTAGCCATGGTGGGAGCAGAAGAGACTGGTTTAATCCGGGGAGAGAGCACCAAGGGGTTGTTGGCGAGTGGTGGGGTCGCCAAGTCCCAGGCAGCCGGCAGCACCAACACTCAGCTGGCCGCCCATGCTTCCACCACTGCTGCTGATGCTTGCACGATAGTTGCTGATCCTGCCACCATGGGTGGCAGCATGGTAAAGCCGGCAGTGCAGAGGCGGCGGAGCTTCTGGCGGCTGAAAACGCTGGATGAGCGGGAGACTGTGGTGGTGGTGGGGGAGAGGCAGCTCAACGCCCACTCGCTCTCTTCCATCCTGCGCCGTGCACACGCCCGCATGGTGAGATGGGGGCACTGCATGCATGCCAAGGGATGGGATGAGCATTTCATGCACACCCGCTGGAGATGCTCGTAACATGCAGTCAGCAGTCCCGCACGATCTTCATCTTTCCCATGCATCTTTCCACCTGCTCCTGTGTCTCCAATCAGTCTCATTCCCACCACCAGCACTCCTCAGACCTGCAAACGCTGAGGGAGGCGGGGGAGTGCTGCTCACACTTCATGCCTTTCTCTCCCATGCCATCCCATCCCATCCGCCCCTGCAGCGGCGCTCTCTCCCCGACGAGCAGGAGGAGGACCCCATGGACGTGGCAGCGCTGGGGGCGGTGCTGCTGTCGGAGCTGGGGGAGAGCGCGCCGCCTGCCGAAGCCACGGAGGGAGGCGAGGCGGCAAAGGAGGGCGACCTGCTGGCCATGCAGCGCCACGTGGAGGCGCTGCAGGCCGACGTGGCCCGTGGCTTCGACCAACTTCGCGAGCAGCTCAGCAGCAAGCTTCAGAGCTCCCATCGCATCCAGTTGGCACAAGCACCCAGTCAGGACCTCCTCCCGGACCAGCCAAGCGATGGTCAGGAAGAGGCCGGGCGAGGAGCATGGGAGCAGGTTTTGATGCAGGTGGGGAAGGTTCGGGAGGAGGCTGAGAGGGAACGAGCAGAGGTTTGGGAGGTGGTGCGTGAAGTCCGACGAGAGATACAATTGCTACGGGCAGCAAGAGGGGAGGGGAGATAGAGGGCAGGAGAGCAAGAGCAAGGGGTTGGGGACGCAGTTGGGGCATGGAGGAAAAACATGGAGTGCGGGGTGAGAGGCGAGTGAATGAGACGAGTGCTGTTTCATTGTCCACTGTGGTCCTGTTCTTGAGACTGGGGATTGGGGTACTATTCGTCGCTGCTTGCTGGGAGTTGTAGGGGTGTGTTGTGTTCTCATGTTTTTGTCTGAATAGTCTCAAAATTCTTTGGCCACCGATCGTGATTTTTCAGAACTCCTCTTTGCCATTATTGATTGATTCATAGTACTAAGATCTCAAGGTACGAGCGAAATGATGTAATTAAGAGAGTGAGAGACAAGTACAAACCCTAGAAGTACTATCCTTTCTACTGTCTGCCTCAGTACAGCTTCGCACACGCGCATTCACGCTGCGCGCACCAGCCCATGCACGCACGCACGTACGCACGCACACACATACACACATACATACACACACAAACATATATATATATATATATATATACCATATATATACAGTTTGACATGTTGGAATTTTGGTTAATTCCGGTTGCTCCAAGAAACATATGCAGTGCTAGATCTACAATATAGTAGTGTAGAATACATTGGTTAGGTTGGAAAAACTTGTGGTGTGCACTCAGAGTGGACCATCTCCAAAACCCTATAGGTTATGGTTCTCTCTTGTTCGAACTTCACTTCTTTGGAATCCCTTTGGCTCTAGCATGGTTCATGCCCAAGTTGGCTCGAAAGATTTCTAGGCTTCAAGAGAAGGTTCTAAGACAGTATCTTCCGTAGTTTAGACCATTCTAGCATAGTATCAAAGCCAGGAAGGCCTAGCAATCTGTTGGAATAGTAGCTACTCAAGGAATTGGACCATATTACCTTGGTGGAAGCTAAATAGCTTCAGTCCCTCCCGAAGGGCTGCCGAAATTGCACCGTGGCAGACTCTGAACGTGGGAGGGGAAGAAGAGAGAAGAAATCCGTTGGAAATCATGTGGATCCGTTCGGGAGGACGAGAGGCGCGGCATCCATTCACGGAGAGGCTCAGTCAACGTTGGCAGATCAAGGCGTGCAACACATCGTTGGAAAACATTCGACACGATCTGGAACAGTTGCCGCAGGGTCGTCACAAATTAACGAGCGGATCGGACACAACGAGAGAAATACAATCAGCGGACGAATTTGAAAATTGAGAATCGGAGAAAATCTAAAGCACGGAAAAATGATTAGAGGGCGGACGCCATGAGCGGAGGCCAGGGGGCATCCAAGAAGCCAAAACACAGGAGAAAAGGTTGAGTTTTTGGACGAGTTTAATCGGACAGCTTGGACATGGGATCCAGGAACGCGATACACCATTGGAACGGTTTCGAAGCAAAGATTCATTTGAATTAAACAGCTCATCATTCGGAGGTTCGAGCGCGCAATTACTCTAAAAAAACCAAGAGAGGATGAATCTGCCCATATCGTCTTCACCGCCGCCGCCGTTGCCTCCACAACCACCTCAGCGTCAATCTTCAATGCCTCTGCCGCAATCTTCTAAACGGAAGCTAGAGAGTATGTCAAATTTTGACAGGAGCGACTATTGGATTTGGAGTTTCCGATTTGAACGATGGGTAGAGGCGCACGATCTATGGGGGTACTTTGATGGTTCGGAGGAGCGGCCTGCATCGGGTGACGCACGGGTGAAGTGGGAGAGGAAAAATCAGAAGGCATTTGCCCAATTCTGCAATGCCTTGGTGCTAGATGAGCTGATTTCCTTGGTACGGGAGTTCGGCGGCAAGACTGAGTTGGGCAATGCACCTGTATTGATGGCGGAGCAAGAGCAGTCACCCGAGTTCCTGCAGGCACGGCAGCGGCATACACACGAGTGAAGGAGTTATACCTTCAGCGTGGATTGTGTAATCGTATGACACTCTCTAAGGAGCTCACTTCCTCGAAGATGAAAGAGGGGGGGGGGGGGGGGGGGGTAGCTGCATACTGGGCGCGTGCCGAGGACTTGAGGTCCAAGTACTTGGCTGTAGGAGGGAAGGAGGAGGTTGAGGAGTGGATGATGAGGGTACTCAAAGGACTACCTCCTCACTTCAAGATGCTGAAGGTGGTGCTGAACAACCAATCATCATCGCTCACTAAGGATCAGTTGTTTACCTCTCTGAAGAGCGAGGAGATGTGGATTGCTGTCGCACCAAGATCGGATGGTGTAGCCACTTTTGGAGCGGGTACGAAAGTGGGCAGCAGCGGCAGGGGAAATCGGGACAAGGGAGGAAAGCATGGAGGCAGCGGTAGCAGCAGCGGCACCAACTCGAGCAGATGGGGTCATGGGAAAGACAAAACATGAGTGCTTGCTTTCCCTTGGGGGTCCAAGGGTATGGCTCCTAGGGGGTTGTGTCATGGCTGTTGGGATGAGGGACGTGCATGGCAGCGATGTCCTCACCGACCTATAGGAGGGAGGCATTCCGAATTTCTGACAGTGGGGGGGTCGTGAGTCCAACGCCAAGGCACAAGTGGCAGATTAGGAGGAGAAGGATGACAAGGTAGATGTAGCTGTTGGAGAGGCAGTTTCAGCAGTAGAAGGGGAGCAGCCGCGAGAGGGGTGGTGGATTTACGGTGGGGCCAGCCACAACTTTGCTCCTTATGCATCAACTTCAAGAGTAAGCTTGAGCTACCTGAGATTCGAGGAGTTAGCTTGGGAGATGGACGGGTGGTGAAAGCTGTTGGCATGGGTGAAGTGCTAGTGGTTGATGCTACAGGCCAGCTGCTAAGGATTCAAAAGGTACACCTTGTGCCTAAGATGCAGATGCGTCTGCTGTCAGTCCCACACCTCACCTCTCCGGATGTCATTGTCACATTCGGAGGCAAGGGATGTGTTATCAAACGGGAGGAGAGGGTGTTGGCGATTGGAGAAAAGGAGGGGCGAAGGGACCATGGATTGGTGCGGATGTCTCTTCCTCTTGCTCGGGGCACACAGAGTAGTGCTCTTGCAGCTGGATCCTCCTCCTCAGTTTCTCCATTGACCCTTGCTCATCGCCGCCTTGGTCATACTGCCCCAACAACACTGCAACAGATGGCTTGGGGGAACATTGTACTTGGCTTGGAGATTGGGGGAGGGAGCACTAATTGCTCTCTAGGTGATCCTTGCTTATTGGGAAAGTCGGCTCGAAAGCCGTTTCCTTATGAGGCGTCTCGGGCACTTGGGCCTATGGATGAGGTCCACAGGAGACCAGTGCACACACCGTCACTGGGAGAAGCGGTGTATGTCTTGAGCCTCGTTGACAACTTTAGCAAACGAGTTTCGGTCGTTCCCACTCCCCAACAAGGAATCAGCCACAGTCGCAGAAGTTCTGTGCCAGTGGCATAACGACATGGAGTTGGAGTGTGGGCGGAAGCTGAAGGCTATTCGCTCAGATAGGGATGGCGAGTTCTTGGGGGGAGCTGTAAAATCATGGAAGGCTGAGCTTGGCATCAAAACTCAATTGAGCATCGCAGATATACCGCAGCAGAATGGGGTGGTGGGGAGGTGGCACAGGACGATGGCAGAGGGGATTTGCACATTGCTGGTTGACAGTGTTCTCTCTGCTCGCTTGTGGGGTGAAGCATTGATGTGGGTCGTGTGGGTTAAGAACCGGGTCACCCATAGTGCTTTGCCTCCCTCCGTCACCTCAATGGAGGCATGCTCTGACTAGAAGCCGCATGTGGGCATGGCTCGGATTTGGGATTGCATGGGGAGTATCATGTTGCATGGGCATGAAAAGGGTGGCAAGCTTGATGCACGCGCCATCGTGTGTGTATGTGTTGGGGTGGACATGGAGAGCAAGGGTTGGCACATGCTAGACCCTTCTCTTATGCGCATTTGCATTGCTCGAGAATGTGATGTGGGACAAGGCCAAGGGCTTTGGGGAGCTTCTGCAGGATGCAACTGAGATTTTCCAGCTCCTCCCCCTTCCACTCTCGCCACCCTTAGCACTAGTTGATGATGGTGACATGCCACATTCATCACCACCACCAACACCACTGAGTGTGTCGGTGCTGCAGCAGCCCGCCCCTCTCCATCAGCTCAATGGCCTCTTGATCATTCAGCGGAGATCTGCTACCCAGGCTTTTTCCTCTTCCTCCTCCTCTTATCAGCATCATGTCAGTCTCTCTGCAAGTGCATCTCTGTCACCAGCGACTACCTCCCGACCACCAGATACAAGGTTGCAGGTGCTTGCTATCTGGTCTGGTACATGTGGGGTGAGGAGGTAGGGGGGGAGGCTGTTGTGGTTGAAGGCATGATGTGCTTGGCCAGGGAGGTGGAAGGTGTTGCACTAGCAGGTGTGAGTACCAGTGGTGTCCCACGCACGCTTGCCGAGGCACTGCGCAGCCCTGAGGGCCCTGCATGGAAGGCAGGCACTAAGAAGGAGGTAAATGCCATGCGCACCATGGGTGTATGAGAGCTTACCTCCAGATAAGGAGGCCATTGGGGTCAAGTATGTTTTCCACAGGAAGACTGACAAGGAGAATAAGGTGGTACAGCACAAGATTCACCTCATTGCTAAGGGGTACACTCAGGAGCTAGAGAAGGAGTTTGATAAGGTATTTGCCCCTGTGGGCAAGCTCACCTCAGGTTGGGTGCTTTTTGCACAAGCCGCGGTAAAAGGGTGGCATGTACATAAGGAGGATGTTGATCATGCTGACCTTAATGCAGTTCTTCAGGAGGAGGTGTATGAGAGGCAGCCTGAAGGATTTGATGATGGTACAAATAGAGTGTATTGCTTGCGCAAAGCTCTCTATGGGCTCAAGCAAGCGCCTCGTGCATGGAATAAGGAGATTGGTACCACCTTGATTGCAGCAGGGTTTCACCGCAGTGCATGCGATGAGGCTTTGTACATCAGGTATGTGGATGGAGAGCCTGTGTTTGTACTGGTGTATGTGATCAAAGAGGTGCTTCCTCAGAGGTACCAGATGAAGGATCTGGGTGAGTTATCCACGTACCTTGGTGTGGAGGTTCGCAGGTCAGTCAAGGATGAGTG